TGCGGATATTAAGTCTGGAAGTCCGTATTTCCACAGAAAGCCAAAATATCAAAGAAACAGAAATACTAGTGTGAGCAGCATGTCTTCCTCAGTCCAGCAATGTATAATTACTGCACAAAGACCAAAAGAAAAATCTGTGAGAACTGAACAACCCTCAATAAAGTGTTATTTTAAATTTTAATTATTGGAAACTTTAATCGGTTAAATTCGAGCGTTTTATCCAGTTAGCTAAAAGCCATAAAAATTATTTCCCACAGAGTTTGTTCCTTGTTGAGTCGGATCCAGTTAGTCAGAGATGTGTCACCAGGAACTTTCGATGGAGAGCCCATATTGGATGCCAGACCCTTAACAACAACCACCTGACCTAATGGAAAAACCCAAAGGGGAAAAAAAAGAAGAAAAACAAAAATCCTCAAGAAGGGAGTCGTCTTCCAAAGTCCACCCAACAAAGTTGTCCTCCAGAATTAAAATTGTGACCCAGGATTAAAACCGAGAGAAAAAATTGTGCCTGGTTAAGCCTCGACACTCCTCCGTGCCTCCACACCAGTGAACGGACAAGGTTCGAAACTAGTGGAAAGAACAGTCCATTGACAAGGTATATATCAACCCGCAATTCGTTTGTAAACTCTCTCTCTCGATGGACCTCTCTTAAATAGGGGAACTATGACCGAAATTGACTCTCTCTGTATTTCCTTCCTATTAATTGTTAGCAACCATGGAATCCGATTAATTTACTTCCTCGTCTCTCTCCTCACCTCTACTCCGAATCCAATCGCTCATCCGCTACAGCTTGCGTGACGTAACGTCGCGATTTCCGAGTCCTGCGAGACTCGGTGGTGTCAGATTCAGGTCTCCTGACATGGTGTCAAAGAGACACCGACCCTACGGTCACAAATCCATCGATAACTTTGCAAAAATGGGAGCACCACAAAACGTGACCTCTGTCTCTGAAAATCTCCTTCCTCTTCCATCTTTACATTTTTATAGACATACTACCTTAACTATTAAATGTCAATCTTTTGGTGAATGGACGATGGTTTGGATGAGGCAAGGATGAACAAGACTCGAGAGATGGTTATGACGAAGAGCGGAGAGCCCAAATCAGTCAAAGGTGAAAGGATTGGAGAAGAATCACAAGGGTTGGAGTAGAACAGCCCTTTTTATACATAAATCCCCTCCAATTGGAATTTCAGATTGGTATCATCTGACAGGATGTACAGATGAGTTGAACGGCCAGATGTTTGTCAAAATTAGCGATATTGTAGCTGTACACTATATTTTTGTACATATTAATTTAAGTTTAGTTTAATCTCTTCTTTCTATCCCTTGCCCTATTGTTCTATTTCCTTCTAGAACTTTCTTATCTTAATCCCTGTCCATTGGGTGGGATGACCAATTCTGAGAAATGGTGAAACAAAGGACTGAGCAGGACCTGAGTCATGTTAGCAACGACTGGAGTTCTCGGAAGCACATTAAGAGAAGGGTTCCTGGTTTAAGGTAGAATCGATGACAGTGAAAGAAAAATTAAAAAGGAAACTTTACGTATAGAAGAAGAAGATGAGTTAAATTTTTGGAGATTATCATGTGGCATCCCACCCAACAGCACGCATAGTGAAAGTATGCCAACAAAATCCCGAGTATTTCTGTTTCTATCGTATGTATTCTTTCTTCGTCCCCTTGTTTCTATCCTTTTCTTCCATTATTGTTAAGTTAAAGTATAAGATTATTTTTAAGCTCAGACTGTATCTTATCACTATCGGGATCGGTACCCCACATTTAGATCTAACGAACTATTGTCTTAGCAGTAAATTCGCATACGATTGTACGTTATGTATTGTGACGTTGGACTTCTCAATCAAAATCTATCTACGTATGCGAAATTGTTTAATTGTAAAAATATATCATTTATCATTTTTAATGTATCCTGTCTGCCTTTGTGGTAATTTTAATTTCGCACACCTTTCACAATATCATCTTGTTAAAGGAAGTTTTATTTCCTCTTTTCTCACAAAAGTGACAAAGTGTGTCATTTTTTAATGGAAAAATTACTTTAATTTAATTTTGTTTAGATTATTAATTTAGTTTTATAATTTAAGAAAAAATTTTTCATATTTAATTCACAGGGGATTATCTAGATTGATTGAATTGATTTTGATAATAAATTTATACTCCGTCTCCAGAGTCTCACAGTGGTGTACACATGCAAGTGCAGGCTTTTATAGTATCTTTACTAATGCACATTTTAAGATAGCTTGAGTATAGTTTGGTACTTAGCCTTAACAGGAATATGGCTATTGAAAAATCCCTCTGATATAATGAGATTTTGATCTCCGTACTCACTGACACCCTCTGTAGATTGATTGCAGGTGTTCATGAACTGTCCCAATTAAGTAAATTAAGTGTAAAAATAAATACACACACTTTACTGTCTTTTTTTATGCACAATATATGAGAGATTCAATCAGAAATTGCAGAAACAGTTGTATGAATAGATCATTAAACAGTAAAATTAAAAATTACAAATATGACATCAAAAAGAATAAGCTGATAACAGAATTAGCCAGTTATGCCAAGAAGCCGAGGATAGAGGCAAAGCTCAAAGAGGCAAGATTGATATGACAAGACTTTAATAAGACCCACATAAGAGCATTAGAAATACTAGAAATACACAATGTAATAAGAGAAAGTGCATCAATTACATAGAGAATCATTGTCTGTAGCAGGCAGTCTTGTTATGATAACTCACAGAGGAAGATTTTGAAAGTTCGTGCAAAATTAAAATTACCACAAAGGCAGACAGGATACAGTAAAAATAAATTATATATTTTTACAATCAAACAATTTCCTGTATATATACAAATTCTTCATAGGGAATTCTAATGTCACAATACATTACAATCGTATGTGAATTTACCGCTAAAACAATAGTTTGTTAGATCCAAATGTGTGGTACCAATCCCGATCACGATAATATGAAGCCTCACCTTAAAACTAATCTTATCCACTAACTTAACAATAATGGAAGAAAAGGATAGAAACAAGAGGACAAAGGAAGAATATACACAATAGAAACAAAAATACCCAGGATTTTGTTGGCGTATTTGCACTGTGTGTGCTGTTAAGTGGAATACCACACGATAATCTCCAAAAAATTTGGCTCATTGTCTTCTTCTTCTATATATAAGCTTTTTTTTTTCACTGTTGTCGATTCTCCCTTAAAACAGAAACCCTTCTCTTAACATACTTCCAAGATCTCCAGTCGTTGCTAATGCGACTCGGAGCATACTCTCTTCATGTCCATACACTTCGCAGTTCTGCAAGAGAATGCCTTGTCCCTGGGCTGTTTCTCCTCAGGGTCCTGCTCACTTCTTGTTCCTCCATTTCTCAGAACTGGTCATCCCACCCAAGGGACAGGAATTAAGATAAGAAAGTTCTAGAATGAAATAGAACAATAAGACAAAGGATAGAAAGAAGAGACTAAACTAAACTTAAATTAATATGTACAAAAATAAAGCATACAGCTACAGATTAAACATGATGATCACATTTGATATTATAAACTCTTATATAAAATTCTCAAATTTTGAATATATATATATATTCAAAATTATATATATATATATATAAACAGTAAATGCCTGGACATTCTAAACTTGTAAAAAGTGACAGAACACATTTTACATTCCAAATAGAATGTTAAAAATTTATATTGGTATAATGATGTTGTTGATCTATGAAGTAAACTGAAAACATTTGTCCATTGATTAAATATTTGCTGGAAGAGTGAATATGGTTGTTCTGTGGTGATACACCAATGTATTTTGTTATATTTTATATATATATGTTTTATATGTGTTTTTCTATTTTCCCTTCCTTCTTTGTTCTGTGTTCCTTTGTATACTTCCTGAAACTTTCTTTCAAGTATGGGTGGTGGATGACCTGGTTAGGGGACAAAAGAAAAGAAATAGCCCAGAGGGCAAGTAGGAGATGAGAGGGTCACTTTTGCCTTGGACATAGAAAAGGGAAGACGCGTCAGAGGTCTCCAGGTCATTGTAGAGTCAACTGGAAGAAAGTCATGAAAAGTTTGGAAGAAAACAGCATCGTGACTAAGGACATTTGTAGGCTAAAGAACTAAAAAACTTATTCGTAGACTCTCACATACGATCCATCCCCATAAGAAATTCCAGGACGACGTCATCCAACCACCGCCACCTCGATCACCGACTCGGGTACCTGTTCATGCTTAAACTTATATTCCTGTCTCATGATCTATCCTTTTCTCTTTTTCTTTAGAGTAAGTAGTTTTAAGTTAGGTTAAGTATATTCTCTGTATCGCAAAAAAAATTTGTTCGACTGTGGATTTGAACAGGTATTGTTTTGTTTTGTTGGAAAATAAGGAATCAGGAGTGTCGGAATCCACAAGAACCTTTCTTGTAGAAGTTTATACAAGAAAAATAAAAGCATGTTTTATTGTTTTAATACCTGCCTCTTGTAAAAATCAAAACTCACCATGTGCATACGTCAACAGTTCTTTGTGTTTGGGATTTGCTTGTTCTACATTGCATTCATTATTACTACGAAATTTTATAAACCTTTTTAGGTTTTAACTCAATCTGGGCCTCACATACCTAATGCTGTTCTCAAGATTAAGGAAGGATGGACAGATGGATGATAGTGGAAATTTATAGATCTACAATTTTTTCAAATTGAAGTCTAGTAAAATAACAAACTGTATAACTGATATATTGTTTCTTGTTAATTAAGACAGTTGTTAAGATGTTTTATCTGAATAAAAGTCATAAGACTCCTTAAATTATTGGCACTTAAGATTGTTTAATTTTAACATTAAAGCAACGATTTACAATTATTTTTTCTTGTTTTGCCATAATTTGGGTTACACAATGTGTACAGGTGGCAACCCTATTAATGAATATGAAGCAATAAATTTAATACAAAAAAACATTTTGTATTATAAATTAATTCAAAAGTTTAATAACTACCTGATGAGGAATTTCAATATGAATATGAAGACGATTAGGATGTTGAATATTTGAAGAATTTAAATATTGTAGAGTAGCCTTGAAAGACTGTGACTTCAGTTTGCATATTCCTAAAATATTAAAGAAACAATTAGTATTGAACAAACTTTAAATTTAAATATCAGGGTGGCTCAACTTCTGTCTGGAACTTCAGTAAGAACTATGTTTGTTACTGAAGTTATGTTTGTCCCAATTTATGTTTCTTTCTCTAGGTACTCCACCTTCTGACACTTCTCTTATTGTTTTGGCAAAAATACTATGCCTCCACAATGGAAATCTTTTGGCTGGTGTCAAAAGATGCATGACAAATTTAACTGACTTGAAAATACTGAAGTCAGAGAGACTTCAGTATTTTGGATGAATTTCTTATCTTTCAAAGTTTCCTTAAAAAGCTCAAACATGTGATAATGGTATGGTGACAGAGCTGGACTGTAGCCAGGTGATCCAGAATTTCCCAATTAAGTCCATTGATCATGTTTGCCATGCCTAAAACTGCACTCCAACACCAACTAAAAGGCCTCTACTCTGCAGGCCTAATAAGTTAGTAACATTGCCAAAATGATGGGAGAAGTATCAGCATATGAAAGGGGAGTATCTAGAGAAAGAAACATTGTGGCCATCAGCCATAGTGTTATATTTTTATTTTATATTTTTTTATTTTTATTACTTAAGAATCTTTCCTTCCCTTTGTTTCATTCTCCTTCTGAGAATTTTGTTATCAACCCTTCTTCACCCTGGGATAGGATTAAGTATTCCTCGAATTCTGGAGAACGAAGGAATAAGTGAGGTCTGGCAAGGGGACCAATAACAGTCGTAGGGATACTCTGGGTGAAGATCCCGAAGAAAGCATAAGGAAAAAAGAGTGCTCGTAATCTGAAGTTAAGGTGAAGGAGCGGCAAGAAAGAGTGATAAAGAAGAGAGACAATTTCAGAAAAAGCCACAAGGACAACGAATAATCAAAGAAAAAAATAGAATTTTTTGATATTGAGAAGTAGCCATATAGACTTTAGAGCAAAAGATATCAAGTTGGCACCATACCCCAAAGCATATATACACACCAAAAGAAATCCCGGGTATTTCCATTTTTTCTAAATTTTGTTTCCATATCCATCAGTCAAAATATACCCTTATTTTTCCTTATTTATAAGATAGACCTAAGTTAGTTATAAATCAGTTTTTGTTTAATTTGATGATTGTCACATGTATGAACTCCGGTTATTTTGGAGGACAAGCCTGTTCGTTTTTTGTGCATAGAAGAAAGTCATACAGCTGATTGCAGAGACAACGTTTAAAGGCCGACGGCGGTTTACAGATAGGGTAGACCGCTGTTCAGAAAAATTTTATTGCAGAGATGGTGTTTCTCCCCTGCCACAATGTAGACAGCGATTAGAAACAAGTTATTTGACCTACTTTCTAGACTCACTCGACAGCGGGTTTAGAGGGCTTTTCAATTTGAGTGGTAGCTTTGTTCATGGAAAAGTTTAGATAAAAACAAATATCGTTCCTTCGATAAGTGTTATAAACGGTACGAATCGACAAAATTAGTCATTAATTGCTTGGAGCAAAACAACAAAATTAAATACTTTAAATTCATTTTAAATATTCCAATTTCGATATTCAAATGGGTGAAGACTTAAAACTTCGATTAATTTAAATCATATGCATTTATTTACAATTTGAGTATCGTGTCGGTTATAAAACGTTAATGCATTTTGGAGTCATTGTACTGTTAAACAAACTTGACAATTTTAATAATTACAGATATCTGTTTATATAAAAAATGTAATATTAATAATAAAATATTTAAAATTATTCATTTCGATAGTTACGAAGGGCGACAGTAATAAGATGTCAACATAATTAATTAAAAATCTATTCTGAAGACAAATTTCGAATTTGGTATAAATTTTCTAAATATGGATTTGTTCATATTTTAAACCGTATTGGGAACGAAATTAAATATCGAAATGGAAAAGGATTGTCATTAATTGCCGAACAATTGTTTTGACAGCCTTAAGATTTCATTTCTGGAAGCTTTCGGAATATAGCTGGCGATCATTTCTGACGTTACAATGGTTTTTTAAATATTTTTTAAACTTCTTTTGGGTTTGTTACATACTGGGCGAAAATAAACTGCCTGATGGCATTTTCAAAATTTAATGTAAAATTAATATATCATTCATTAAAAATCAGCAACAAATCAAAATTTTGAAATACTATGATTTTCTGCATATACTCCATAGAAAATCACTAAGCTTTCAATTGTCATTCATAAGCAATAATCTTTGAAATTGTGAATGACAGCATACTTCATATTTCCAAAAAGTGTCATAAATAAAATGGTTGTACACAACTCGAAAAATTGTAGGTATGTATGTTGAAACATACATTAACTATTAATTTCTACTGACATTTTTGATTGAAAAAAATGAAATTGCTGTGAAAAGAATTGCTTCATTATGGCTAAGCTCTATATTGTGATTTGTATCATTTGTTACACACTTTTGACAAAAATGCAAAATCATAAACTTAATAAAAACACATCAACCGAATGCCGAAAATCAATCGGACTATTTTTATGCTAATTACTAAATAAATTACGTAATCAATTTGGCACTATAGGTAAGCGTTAGGCGCCATCTCTTATTAATATTAATAATTATAAATAAATTAATTAATTTAAATAATTTAGAACCACTGGTAAAAGTATATTTTTGACTACTTATAGAAATATGTATTGTTATACATTGGCTACACTCAAATAAGATAATTACAGTAATACCCCAAACTTACGCGATAGGTGGGACTGAGCGATAACCACGTAAGTCGAATTTGCATAAGTCGGGGTATAATTTCGCAATTTGTGTAAAATCTAAGTCGGATGTATGTAAGCTAATAAATGTTTTCGTTAATCTTGTCTTTTGATTCATTCACGGTTACAAGAAATCACCACATAGAATCTCTCGAGTCTCCGTAGATATAACAAACACAGAAATAAATAACACAAAATAAATTGTAGCTATGTGTCGATTCCACGCGACACGTCAGAACATGTAAGCTGAACAATAGTGTGGGGGGGAAGTGAGTAATCAAGAGTTGCATGGTGCTCAAGCAAAAGACGAATCGGCGAGATTTGAAAATCGCGTAACTCCAGGTTTGCGTAAGTCAGGGTAGCGTAAGTCAAGGTATTACTGTATTCCTATTAGAAACAATAAAATCAGTGCTAGGCACACCTAATTTTGAGGATTTGATTTTATAGCCTAAAAATGCATTATTGTTGATAGCATATAGATAAAACCCAAAAATAAAATGTGTGTCTTAGTTTTTGATGACATGTGTAAGAATTATCAAAATCAAAAGGGACAGTTAAGTAATGTTTGAGGCCATCAAGGATGAGAGGAAGATGAGGATTTTTCTCCACATTCAGAGAAAACTTCAGCACCCATATTACATTCTATTCAGATAAATCAATGTTATTTTACTAAAAAAAAATAATAAAAGCTTTAAAGCTACTTTTTATTAATAAACAAACACTGTGTATTTCATTTATTCAAAAAACAATGGCAAAAGGATCCACTACCCCAAGGTCCCAGACACTCTCTCAACAGTCCTGATGATGTTCCTAGTAAGTCTTACATGCTAAATAAAATTTAGGTGTGACAAAATGAGAATATTTTAATTTTAAATTAATAACTGCACTGAAAACATTTATTATGAAAGCTATCTATTTAAAAATGTATGTTGCTTATTAAAAGTTACTTTACTTACCATTATGACTTCCAATTTTAGCAACATTGCTTTTCAGTGCAATTCCAGAACTTCCTTCAGATGACAGTGGTTGAGCAATACAACGTATCATAAACTTTGGTCCAAAATAAATAGTATCCAATATCTAATATAAACAATTATTTGCTTTAATTGTATAAAAATTAAATCTGTAATCTCTATATTAAATCATAATATATTATTAAATTAATTCAAAAATTCATGATAAACAACAGTATCAAAATATAAAATTTTTAAACATGTTAATTTGTTAAGCATTCTTAATGCACAATATAACCTCAATTATCCAAACCCTAATTAGTATAGGTTCTGTATTATATGAGGTAAATCTATAAGTTATACTAGTTTTCTTATGTTGTAATTCATAAAAGAAAGCTTAAAATAATAACATGTATTACAAAATTATCTGTTTCTGTTGTGGGAATTGCCTATGAGGTTAGGTTCATTCCACAACTTGCAGTGTCTTAATACAAGTGTATTGCTTGTTCAGACCAAGTAGTAACGCAGGACAATTAACTCAGATTTTCTCAGAGTGCAACTTAAAATGTATATCTACTTCTAAAATATGATTTGTGATACAGGATTAAGATGACATAAAAGCAACTTTCACAATACACACATCTTCCTGGTGTAACTTTCCATCAGAGAATTTTTTCCTCCACAAAAAAGTTCTAACCAGAGTTAACAAAACAAATGATGTGGGAGGACTTGGCAAGTCAGTGCTGCCATTGCTGGTGGCTACACTGTTACCTTTTATAATTTAATTTCAATGCAACACAAACCATTCATATTTATATGTAACTACAGTAACACACACTTTTATTTAAACTTTAATTAAAACTATTGTTTGTATTATCTGTAAACTATAATCATAAAACAAAAATCACAACTTAAAATCTGTCTCCACTGTATTATACACTAGATATGTTAATGACATTTTTATCTTATGGCATAAAATCTCAAACTGCTATCATTTCTTCAAAACGTTAAGTAGGAAATTTTAACACACGTCTTATGATGTAAATGCCAGGACCAGAGAAATTAGACTTCTTATGCAGGTGTAGTGATCTGTCACTTAAATTATATTGTTTTTTTTTTTTTTTTTTTTTTTTTTAATTTTTTTTACTGAAGAGTATCAAAGAAACTGAGCGGTCAGATCGACTGTCTGTTGTAAGTCCGAAT